CTATACTCAATGTAATACACCGATTCGATAAGATCTTATCCTACCTACCTGGTAGACCAGAAGAATTGTAGTGGAGAGCAACATTCCTGTGCATTAAACACATCAGATACTAAAATGCGAGAAAATTAATCGTCAAGAAGGAGGTGAAAGACTCTTTTACCCGAAACTTTTTTTTGCGTGTGTGTCTACATCTCTGATTTTTAAATCAAGCTTTGCCCTTAAGAGTTACGTTCAGGTTCTTTTGTAAAATGCTGATAATTGTCTTATGAAAACCCCCTATCAACTCCACCACCCCTTCTCATACCGGTGAGCTTCATAATCATGGCAGTCTGAAGAAAAAGCTACAGTGACACTGACTTGGATGAGCGCATTTACAGATATCACACAGCAGGGGAGAAAGCTGTTTTTGTGCTACTTGATGCTTAAGAGTCGCGAAAAGCTCTACCATCTCTTCACATAATGTACTCGAGTCACTGGTTCTTACCAACACATGGAGAATCCAATTTACTCCATTGAGAGATAAAAGAATGAGGAGCTCTTTAGGAAATAGTTACGTTTACCTGCTGCTTTCGCGTCGAGGCGTTCATTATTGAATTCAGATGTGATTTTTACATAAATTGACTTGACTCTCTCCAACTATTTCCAAGCTGAATCAAATCATTTTTCTGGAAAAAGCAGTGATGTTCAACATGGATCGAGCTAAAAACGTGTATCTATAGGGTCTACCAATGACGTTGAAGGCTTCAAGAAACATCGAAAAGTTTTCAATTTTACCCTATTTGCATATTTTCAGCTGGTGTTTTTTTTTTTAAACCGACGAAGCTCGAGGGTCTGTGGTGGATGAGAGAAATAATAGCCTGGCAGAGCATCCCATCAAATTTACTTTTCCTTATGATTTAAAGAACGAGCTCTGACAAACCAACCGAGTTCAATCCATTTCGAAACTTAGAGAAGAAGAACGATTCTTGGAAAATAAAATCTAAAAAGTTGGAAAAAAACTTAAAATTGTAGCAGGTGTTTTAAGTAAAACGGTTTGAACAGATATTTAGAATTAAACGTAGCTTCTCGATTCGAAATATTACTTCCTATGATACAAGAACCAAGCACATACCAAAAAGAAAAAAGGAGTGAGTAGCCTCATATTTTGTTACAGAAAGTAGTCCTTTAGCCAACCCGCGTAAGATTCCTTAAGTCATAAATACTCACAAAGGTTAGAGTAAAAATTAAAGCAACGCAGCATTCACATTTTGAATCCCCCAGTGGCAATATACAAAAAATTGGCAGCATGCTGCTTTTGTTTTTTTTTTCTGTTGATTTAAGCTTGTTTTTAAAGGCCATTAATTACAAAAAAACTTTCAAGAAAGTCTCAGAACCAAGTGAAGTCATTGATGAAAATATTGTGATACTGTTTTCATTTTTTTTCTTTTTTTTTTCGGCCGAACAGTATAATAGAAATTTCTACGAAGGGCAACGCTTAATCATTGTAAAGTCTCAGTTCAACAAAAACAAAACAGTTCATCATTTTTATCAAAGAGTTTTTGTTAAATGTAGCAGACATTGGTTCCTTTTGGAAATAGTAACCCCTGGAAAGTAATAATGATTATTTCAATAATGATGATAATGATAATAATAATTCTTTATTTAGCAATAATTTCCATAAAATCCTCTACAATACAAAATATTAACAGCGTAAAAAACGATCCAAAATGACTCACTTTCAACTCACATCTACTCCTTTTTTTTATGCAAAAGCGTCTGGAAAACTATAAATAACGGAGTCAAATCTGAACAGATTCAAAGTCTAATAATCTGATAAGTAAAGGCATATCTAAAACTATACAGAAAAGAGAAAGGTGAATGGCAAATCTAGAACCCTATAATGATAATAATAATAATAACAATAATAACAATATTAATAACAATATTAATAATACAATAAAATGCTAATGACAATGAAGATGATAATGATGATAACAGCAACAGTTATGAATTGCCACGAAATTATTTGTGCCAAGAGTCCACATTGAATCCAAAATATGTTTTACCTAATCTGATCTCAGGTACAACCGGTCCAATATTGAATAGAACTTTTAAGAATTTAAATGTGATAAATTCATCTGTTTTCTATGTTTACTAATTTGTTTGGCGCATAATAAATCCCTGTTCTCAGCCATCACATATCACTCAATCCAATAATCAATATGTAATATATCCCTACAATTTCATAAAAACGTTCATGCAAAAAGTTAATGATAATAACAAAGATCTTATGTCACGCAACCCACCAGGTGTTACTTAGTATCTTACAGTTAATGAGTCACCGAGTTAGAGTCATATTCGGTTTACTTACCAGGTTTCTGTTTCTTTCTATATTTATTCATTTTTTCTTTTCAGTTTTCATCTTGATCAAATGTTGTTGTCAACATTTTGCCGGTTCTTTCAAAGGAATTACTTCATAAAGAACAAAAACTCATTCATATTCCTCCCTGAAACAATAACTATTCACGAATTACGAAACCCCTTACATTGATCATTAAATCAACATGTAAAAAATACTTTGGGTTCAATTTTGCATTTTAAAACATTACAAAAAACCAATTATCGAAACAAGAAAGTTTCAGCCTTCTCTTAAACCATTAAAAATAAACGACAAGTTTGAAGTTTGCACAATACCTGTACATTGATTCGCTGGAACAAAATGCGACGACAGGTGATACAGCCATAAGGGTTAAAACCAATAAAATGATTATGAATAATCATCACCAAAGAAAGTATGAGTACATGTTCTCACCACGCCAAGGTTATTAATATTTCTTTAGTAAGCAAGAGGATGCCACAAGCAAAATTTTTCTCGTTCTTTAAAATTCTGGCGTTCGTTTTTGGCCAGTTTGTTTTGTGGAAAGTTCAACAAGCTATTGATGTATCACTTGGTAAGTGTACGAGAGTTTCAATTCGGAGAGCGTGTTTCTTAGGCTAAGTGACGCATGCAAACAATATCTTCAGTTTTACGTAATCTAGGATTTCGCAGAAAATCAGTCAGTGATTCCCTATAGCAATACTTCTTCCTTTTATTAGTAGGTTATACATTTTATAGAATGTTTTTTCTCCAATCATGTTGAAAAGGTTTTATAAAACTTTGTAAGTCTCTATCAAACACTTTAACTTACAAGTAATTAATAGACCTAAGTAATATGAGACAATGTAAATTCATGCTCAAGTAATAAACTTCACCCTAGGTTTCGGTGAAAGAGAGGATTACGGCCACTAGACTACAACCAGTAGCTTCATGGCCTCTCTCATATCAACGCTCAGGGGTAAACGAAATTTCTTGGAATCATCAATGTCAAGATATCTGAACCTCTAGAAACCGCCTTGTGCGTTCGGTGAAAAAAAAGTGAGTCGCTAAAACTCACCATCGTAGAGTTTAATTTATAGTTTTGTCACTGACTCCAACTTACAACAACCTTTTTGTTTTTACTAGAATCCCTGTCGACTATAAATGCCTACAACACAAGCTCCTCGTCCATTCATGTTGATTGGAGACACAATCAATCTTCAGGCTATAATATTTCAGGATACAGACTAAGCTACAGAGAAGGGAACTCGTCTACAGAAATTCATATCGTTCTCTGCTCTCAGAGGAATTTCTCAACAGAGTTAACGAATTTGAAACCGTTCACGAATTACTGTATAGTAGTTTCCTCGTTTACAAATGCCATCGTTAGCAACAGAAGCCGCCAATGTCAGAACGTGACTACAGATGAAGCAGGTACGTCTTTGCCGCAGGGATCGGTCATTAGTTATTGCTTAGGGAGGGGGTGGTGGAGGATTATGGTTGTGTCACAATTAAGTTAATCTGATCCTTCCCTTAGACTGTAATATTGTTATGATCCCTCTTCACTGGAAGTCAATTGGCAGTAAATCTTCCACAGTCCCCCCTTTAAATTCTGTTGGCGACAACCGAGTCCTCCTCTATTCCCCCCCCCCCCCATAACCATGCGATCCTCCGAAAATCCTCCAAATCACCCCTACCTCCCTTGTGATAAATAACGTCTGGTCCATTAACACACGGTTGCTGTAATAGTCCTTTTAACAGTTGTGGGCTTGGTGGCCAAGCCTTTGAACAGGAGTGAAGCTAAGGGTGACCTTGTTATGATAGAGATGTTGCTGCTTTTCAAATGCAAATTTCTTTGTTATCATGCTAACTGGACACAGGTCTCTATCACAACAGGGTCACCCTTAGCCTCACTCCTGTTCAAAGGCTTGGCCACCAAGCCCACAACTGCAAAAAGGACTATTCTCGCAAGAGCGCAGTTGGATTTGTGAGACAGGGCGAAGGGCCACAGGCATGCACTATTGACATTACGGGGTTTGAGTTAGGTTCAAGTTGTTACGGATTAAAAAGAGATAATCACTTTTTCTTCTCTCTCTGTATATCTTGCCCGATTAATAGGAACCGTGAGCTTGACATGACAAGCAGGATATCCGAGGGGTTCTCCAAGGGAAATATACAAAGAGTAATACGTAAAGTTACATGACAAGCACGATATCCGAGGGGTTCTCCAGGGCAAATAACGTGATAATGATCGATGATGATAAGGACCGTAAAGATGATATTAACCCTTTCACTCCCATAAGTGACCAAGATAGAGTTTCTCCTTATAATATCAATATAATATCAAGTAGACAAGTAATGAGAAGAAAGAAAAATATCAGTAAGGGGATATTACTCGATCCAATACCAACTTCTCCAAACTTGAATCCCAAGAGTGGTATGGCAGACGGTAAGGAGAATTTACTGATGAGATCTTGGGAGCGAGAGGGTTAAGGAAATAGGAAAAATATAACAAATTTTCTCTCTTTTCTTTTAAATTTATCTGTGGATATGAAGGACTGATGAAGAGACTTTGAAATTTTTGCTCAACCTAACTCTTTCATACGGAAATATTTTTGTAGCTCCAAACGCTCCACCTCAAAATTTTAATGCTAGCTGGATGAACCATACAAGTATTCGTGTCACATGGGATCCGTTACCCTCGATCAACAGGCGAGGAATTATTCTTGGATATTCAATATTTTACAAGAAAGTGACGAACACGCAGCAAAAGAAAGGAAGCTTGAATAATTCTGATCAAGAAATCATGGCATGTGCCAAAGTGCGAACAATGGACTTGGTGGGACTCGAAAAGTTCGCAAATTACTGTGTGTGGGCTGAAGCTTTTAACAGCAAGGGACGCGGTAATTCAACATCTTACATCTGTGAGAGCGCAAGTGAAGACGGTATGCAAATAACAATTTTCTTTCGTTAAAGAGTTTAGATAAAAGGAATATTAAGTATTTGCCCTCTTTCGTTTGGAATAATACGAACAACTTAAGTCTCCGTTTGGCGATTAATTTGCCGTGGAAAGGTAGTTCGACAAACTCAAGTCCCTTTCGAATCAAGGGTTTATACTTTTCTTGCTTGTCGGCAAAGGTTCTGATAGCGAAAAAAAAACAATGCAAGTAAATAAAAAGATGAAGTGAGATTCTTGGTCATTTTCTCGGAAATTATATAAATACACGAAGTTTATCACGAGTTTTAAAAGCACCTCCGAACTAACAAAGGCATCGAACATCTGAAAAAAACTAACTAGATCCTTTTTATTATTTTTAGTTCCAAGTGGAGCTCCTAAACTTGAGGCTAAGACGTTTTTCAGTCCAAACGCCATCAAGCTTACGTGGCAATCACTACCCGAGAACCTTTCTCGCGGGAGTGTCCTAAAATACAAGATAAACGTCACACAAACAAGGAATGCCAATAAACCACTTACAGATCCATGGAGTAAATCGATTGAGATCATTAATTCTTCACGAACGGTCCTCATTCTTAAAAACCTCTCGTTATTTTCAACTTATGGAGCTCAAATTGCGGCATGTAACGCAAACGGATGTGGAAATTTTAGCAATATAGTATTTGCTGGTGAGCGCGTCGTTTTCTGGAGATGGTTGTACGTGAACTTAAAAGCACCTCACTTATGAAGGGTCACGGCAAAACGGTTGAATATGAATGCCCGTGCAGTCCCCTTCGCCCTTGAATTATTGATTCGAATCCTCAGTGAAAACCTTCAACAAAGCTGAATTTCTTAGGGGTAAGGGGGCTTCGAGCACCTTCCGGAGGAGAGTTTTATTGGACATAAAACACATATTTCAAACGAGACTACTCCTAAAAGCAAATGGCTGGTCATTGCTGACCACCGAAGCAAAAAGATCCTGGGCCAAGTTATTCAAAAGATGGATAACTCTATCTAAAAGATAAATCCCTCTCCAACGGATAATTGGTAATAAAACGTACTGCGCCAACCACTAGATAGATCTTTATCCAGTGGATAGTGTCATCTTCCCTTCCAGCTACGGAGGCCTGGTCGATAAATTATTTTTGAACTCAGATATATATGAACCCTGTGATGTGAAAGTAGTTAAATAAAGATTGATTTTGATCAGATTTCCTCTTTTTTAGCTATAAATCCACTTTATTTGCAGAAACCTGCCGCTGTCCAAAGTATCTCTCAACATCAAAAAGCCAGTCATCCTTTGACCAGGGGGGGAATAATTCAAAGAGTATAGCAGACATCATCGCCACCACAATAACCAAATTGTGCGGATTCTGTCAAGAACATAACAAAACCGTCCTGATATTTTCTAACAAGACTGATGGAGAATCTAATCTTCAGTTCCCAGTCACAAATACTAATTCAAGAGGAAGTAAATTCAGCAAGTTTATTGCTGTATTACAGGTACCCGGGGTGGTTGTCGTGAAGAGGCAGGGCAATAATTCTTCTGGTTTCCTCCAAGAAGTCATGACTTCCTCTGTCTTTGATATCTGGCCAGTCTTTGTCGTGTCGCTATTGGCTGTTTACTCGGCAGGAGTCCTTGCGTGGTTCTTAGTAAGCATGACTCTTGATTGTTTTCTTTTTATATACAGTATTACGCTGTCCTTTTTTTTTACAGCCAAGAAATGGGGTCGACATTCTAAATGACGGTGTTGTCGTGGAAATCATCGTATGCGAATATATAGTTTATATCTGACCACTTGTAGCCCAGAGGCTGAATTACGGGCGGAGTGTAAGGTTGAGAACAGACGTCAGCATATCAGGCGCCTCTGGCAGCCGCTTCAGTCTGTCGATCTCACCTTCCCACTCATCCCACCCCAGGGGAGGACATCCATCACACAGTAATCTCGTGTGTGGGAAATTAACGTCTCCTACCCCAACCCTGCAGGAGACGGGACATCCATTTATTCGTCCCTATCCGGGAAGACTAGAATATCTAACCATTTCTTGATGTTATAGAAAGGTAGCAAAATCTTCTCAATTATTTTAAGACCTTGAGTGTTGGTCCGGCCGGGGCTCGAACCCTCGACCTCCCGCACAACAGTCCAGCGCTCTATCCATTGAGCTATCTGGGAGGCGGAGTTCTTTATCATTATCAGACTCCAAATAAAAACTATAATAAAAATCTTCAACGTGATTGGTTATCACCAGCCCGATTCGAGCATTAGTAGGACAGTTTATGCGTAATGCCGGTGTATTAGACTGTACACGTCATGTGTGCGCTGTTGTCGCGCGTTTCGCCAAGTTAGCTGTTGTTTTTCAAAAAACCCATAATTATTGACTAGTTTGTCTCTAAATTTTTGTATTATCTTTAATCAATTGGTAACATCTCTTTGTGTCCTCCATTCGGAGTCCATAATCGTACTCGTGATTAACAAATCGGACCCCTGCTTCGCGGTTTTGTTATCATCCGATTTTGTTAATCACTCGTATGACTAACGATCTAATTGGGCTCCACTTAATACTATTTCTTTTATTAACTCGTGGAACTAGCCTCTAAAAGTCAGTTCTCTAATTAATAGATGATAATGCTTGTTTCAATGTCTTCTGATTTAAGGAAAGAGAAGAACAATCTACATCGTTTGTCCTGGGAGTGTACGAAGGATTCTGGTGGTCATTTGTCACCATGACAACTGTAGGGTGAGGACGTCATCAGTGTCACGTAAGATCTTGGCGATATAATAGATTTGATCTTCTAGAAGTCGAGTCGAAGATATGTGGGTTGATTGATGGCTTGATAAACAAAAATTATATTAATATTTGTTTTTTTATCGATGCAGTTATGGCGATCGTTGTCCAAGGTCTAGACCAGCAAGAGTGTTTGCGATCGTCTGGTTACTCATAAGTACAGTTTTACTATCAATCCTTATGGCTGCCATGTCAACCACTTTAACTACTACAGTGGTTCGGTCACAGAAAAGAGACTTCACTATCGACGGAAAAAGCAAGGCGAGTTCTTCTTCTTAAAGTCACGGTATTGAAACGGATTAGACTTAAGCAAGAACATATTGATCGACTTAGTTTTCTGTTAGTACATAGGTTTCCTCGTGCAACTTTCATGTAAAAAATCAAACAAAAAGGAACACTTTCCTCGAATATTCCAGCATTCTATCGGTTCCAGGCAAACACCAGATAAGTTAGAGCATCATGGTCGGAAGGAATACTGTCTCATTACTGTTCTTGAAAATATCGTTGGGGTGGTATTTTTTAAAAAGGAAATTTATTATATGCATAACGTATTGACAGTTTACCTTCTTTTCCTGAACAGGCAGCAGCGGTTGCTCAATCCGCAGAGTACAAATTGGCTGTGGGATCGCTCAGCGACAAATTTAAGCTCAGTAAGTGCCTCTTGTTCTTCTCTCACAACTCAGCTAACCACACCCATCTTCTCTTTCTCATGTGTGAGCAGCTGACAGTCCTAATAAGGGTTTACTCAGTAGGCTCGGTTTGCTGTAAATTTGAGACTGAGAAGTAAGAGACCAGTCGTTATTTATCGCCTGAGGGGGAGGGGGTGGAGGATTTTGGGGGATCAAATGGTTTCCACGGGGAACATAAGGGGATCAGTTGTCGCCAACAGAGTACAAGGGGAAATAAAGTTAAGCCTTCAATTAATTTCCAATGAGTAGGATATTGTAAAGATGTCACAGAGTCTTATAAGGGAACAGTTAAAATTTATCCCCTACCTCGCTACTGGGTAGTGGGAAGGGCAAATAAGATAGTTCTTTTTTCACGAGGGTTTTTTTCCTTTAACTTGCATAACGGAAAGGAAATATCAGATGCATATAATGCAAATTCAGGGCCTAATTTCTTTAGTTAACTTTTCTCTGGTAGTGGAGAAACTCTTCTCGATCTAAAATGCCAAACGGGTGGACAAGAGCTTTGTATTGTCTATATCAGTTAAAAATATCGTCAATTCGACAATAGCAAATACTCCCCAATTCATAGTTTATATTATTTAATTGTAGCCACAGATTACTCATCAATAGAGAGACTCACCAGAGCACTCAAGGATGGCGAAGTTGACTACATACTTGTTGACATGTATCTTCCTGCTAAACGCAAAGATCTCTTCAATGGCTCATGGTTCGAAATTGCGGCGCTGTACAAGGCAGAAATAAATCACGGGATTCTTCTTCGGGGTGACGCACTAAAACTGGCATCGGCTTTGGAAGAGATGATAGCATATGATAACGTGCAAACTAATTTTCTAAAAAATAACGACGATGACGAGGTATGACGAACTCTTTTATCAGAGTGACTTATGAGTTTGAGTTTAAAAAAAACGGCAACAACTTCAACAAAGAACAAAATTAAAGGCGTGACTGGAAAGAAGGCTCGGGTGGGTAAGTCTTACAACAAGGTGATGGCGTGACAAAACTTCTACGGCTCACATACTTCTCTTATTATAATACTTATAGGTATAAGTCACGTAAAAACCCTTCGTCTACTAAAGAGAGTGCATCTTTTCTAACAGGGAGTAACTGGGTTGACATCCAACAAGTATCTGTTCTTCGATCCTGCCAGTCCATTTTACAAGAAAATCGTGTTCGCCGGCCTGGGTATCCTGTGCCTCTTCACGGTTTGTGGGCTGGTGTATCAAATAGTGTACACTAAGCAGAGAAAACGCCAGACAAGTACGTATCTCAATTTTCTTATTTTTCCTTCGAGCATTGGCTTATATTGACCCTTTCACTCCCTGCAGTGTCAAAGACATACTTTCTTCTTACAATATTAAGTTGACTCTCCCTCGTATTCAGTCACTATTTCAATCTACAATATCTTTGTCTAAAAACAAATAGAAAGACTCCTTTAAACCAGTTTTGCTAACATTTTAGGTGAGCGGGAGACAGAGAGGAATAAAATTCAGAGGGAATTAAAACACTTGCTCGATGAATTTTACCACTCCTACCGTCAGAAGTATGAAACACTTAAAAAGAAACACGAGAAGGAAGTTACTGAGGTGGCTCGACAGGGAAGAAAAGGACTCGGAGCATGCGATGGAAAACGAAATGATGTTATGGTCCCATGACCAAGTTTTGATCCAACAGCTACTTTCGCGCAATATGATTTTGAATATGCACTTTAACATTAGATCTAATTCACGGCAATTTAACATAAAAAAGCGCATAAAATACATAGACAGGTCTCTCTCGATGTTTCCTGTTATAGGTCTGGAAATGTTAATCATTAGGTGTCTCTCTAAGGAGCACAGGATTTTTTAACAACGCTCCCTAACTAATCAAGGTTAATACCTTGATTACTGATACATTTATCGCCACGCTAAAGTAACTTCTAGTGTTATTAGCTTTTGTACCTAAGCAGGTATCCATTCCATCCTAAACTGGTTTATTATTTTGATTATCAGGCTTAATATCGTTTTAGAATTTAATCAAAGCTAGTCTGACCACGTGTTCAGAATTAATCATGAAGACAAGAAGACAATCTCTTTAAAAACTGTTTTTGTCCTCAAAAATGGAAAAAGGCACAGGTGAGACATGCAGAGTGGTATATGTGTGTTCAAAAAAAGGATCATCTTGTATGCCCGTCGAGGGAATGTGCAAATTGACCACACCCTGCGAGCAAAAGGCACTAAGAGTCTGTACTACAAAGGCTTTATTATGAATCGTTAATGCCGTTTAAACTACTAAGGTTAAGTCCACCATCATTATGGTGTTCCCTGGCAAATCGTGTAATATAAAAACATGTACATCATTAACCTCAAAATGATTACCAAATCATGACAAGTGGCAATTGGGAATGCAATCAATCAATATCTTAATTTCAAACAATGTACTATTGCAATTTGTAGAACAAACGCATTACCACGGAAAGGTGCTACAGATAGATGGGTTTAGACAGTCATGCGAGTGGCCTGGCGGCAAAATCACCTTACGAATAAGCTGGCTGTAGAAATCATGAACGACAAATTCAAGTCATGGCTGTACAAAGTGTAGCGAATATTGCTGTTATTAATTATATGCTTACAAAAGTGTTAAAAAAAATTTACGCTTCAGATTCAAATATCTGAAAGTTCTTTAGCATCAAGTTTTTCCCCCCTTGTCGCTTGATTTTCTCCAGTTGTATCAACTCAGCCTTGAATTTTCTTCTTAGTTCCTTGTACGTTGAAGTAAACGATGAGTAAAATTCTTCAACGGCTGTTTCCAAATCAGCAGCAGAAGCAGTATTTTTAGGGACGACAGCGTTACTATTGATATCTGCAAAAAAAGAAAAAGGGTTGGAGAAATGTATCTTTTCATTCAATAAATGCCAAATTGTGAGTTATGAAGATTTATAATTATGTTTGGATCATCCTAGGGACAATGCCATAATTGTAATTAAAGGTCAGTATTCCTCAACTGCGAAAGAATCAAGAGGAAACAGATCGATTTGAACCACAACCTACTATCCTGAAAATCACGGCCATAAACTACATAAATCAGGTTTCCATTAGGTACCAGTCATTTATTATTTATCACAGGGGGTAGGGGGCTGGAGGGCTGGGAAGAGAATCACATGGTTTTCGAGAGGAACACAGGGGGAATCAGATATTGCCAACAGAGCATGTGGTGGACTACTATAGAAAATTGACCCCCAGTCAACCTCCAGTGAGGTGGGATCATAAGAATGGGAGATTATTTTCCCTAGCCATACGAGGAGTAATCTGAATCGTTTTTTCCCAATACGCGTGCGTCACAGAAAGAAAAACTTTATCTATCAGTGCTCCGAGTTGTTGCTAAGGAAGGAAGTCTACCAACTCGCAAGTAAGCTCAATTATCTCCCCGAGCGAGATCAATAATTTTTTCTGTTCCATTAACTCTGATCCCCTTTATAAACCCATTGACATTGTCACTATCCCGGAATCAAGCGAGATGCCTGTTTTAACGGTCTCCAGTGTTACCAGGAGTCTACTGAAATTAAAAAGAACTGCCTCTGGTCCAGATGGAATCCCGTACTGGTTTTGGAAAGAGTTTGCGTACGACCTCGCTCCTGTTGTTACCCATATTTTCAACTGTTCTTTGGAAAACCACATTGTGCCTGATCTTTGGAAATTGGCCAACATAACTCCCTTGCCTAAAGAGCCCAACTTTAAAAGTTGTACACAGTTACGGCCTATTTCTCTGACTAATGTAATAATGAGGGTTTTTGAACGTCTTGTATACAGACAAGAATTATCTCAATATATGAAGAACTTCATTAGCTTCGACCAGTTTGCATACCGCAAAGGCCACAATACGACAATGGCCTTAATTAAGTGTCAATATGCTTGGCTGAAATGGCTCGAGTCGGGTTTTGATTGTGTTAGAATTTTCTCTTTTGATTTCAGCAAAGCTTTTGATTCGGTCCCTCATGATATCCTCTGCTCTAAGTTGAAAACACTTGACATAAATCCATACGTGACCAATTGGATTATTAGTTTTTTTACAAAACAGGAAACAAAGAGTTGTTGTTGATGCCATCGTTACGGATTATTTAAATATCAATAGGGGTGTCCCTCAGGGGACAGTTTTAGGCCCTATACTATTTTCTATTATGGTCAACGATATTAAGGCCATTCTACCAAATCAGAATTTACTTGTGAAATATGCTGATGATTTAACATTAAGTATTCCAGTAAAATCGCGGGCTAACAACGGCAATTCAGCAGCTGAGGAGGTCCAATCGATCGTCGCATGGACATCTGCTAACCGTATGCAACTAAACTTCAAGAAAACGTGGGAGATGCTTCTTATAGGCAAATCCACTATGGCCTTACCTGCTCCTCTGGTTTCTATAGACCGTAAACCATGTCTGAAGTTGTTGGGTGTGACTTTTCCCGTGTAACTGGGATTTACATTTTGATAATATTATATCGAAAGCCAGTAGTCGTCTGTACATCTTACGTGTTTGTAAATTCTATGGACTGCCGCTGGATCATCTTCATCTTCTTTTTATCAGTCTTATTCTACCTATATTTACATATGCTGTAGAAGTATGGGGCTGCGCGTATTATCATAAGTATCTGAGTCGCATAGACAGGCTGTTCAGGAGAGCTTTTAAGCTTGGCTACTGTAAAGAGCTTTTTTCGATTGAAAATTTTATTATTCTAAAAGATAAGAAGTTGTGGGCCAAGATCACCGACAGCGATTTTACAACAGCTTTAGATGACCTTTTGCCACCTGAGCGACCAATGGTTACGCTACGTAAGAGGCGCCATAATTATATTCTCCCGCTTGTCAGAACTGAACGTTTCAAGAGGACTTTTGTTAATAGATGTTTGTTCTCTTATTAGTTAGTCAGTTAGTAATTTAGTTAGTTCATTAGTTTTATACTTGCTGAGTTCATATCATTGTAACTAAACACGTTTGTTGTTTAGAATGCTTAATAAAGACTTTATTATTAAACAGTCCTTGCTACCTTAACTGTACTTACTATTGCCAAGTGCACGCCTTCTTTTGTAGAAAAGCGCTTGGTACAGCATCCCGCAGCACAAACACACTCCCAGAGCTGCTAGAGTTGTGTACATGGTGGTACGAAAATAGGGACTTTCTGGCTCAAAAAATGTTACAGGCTCTTCCTCTAAAACTTTCTCCTGTGTAGACGGCAGTCAGTGAAAACAATGTGGGCTTAGATAAAAGCTAGGAAATTAATGTCATCTGGTAATAAACGTAATTATTGTTATAATAATTATTATGTCGCTATAGAATTATTTAAGAGAGTAAGTCCTGTCTCTACAACAGGCCCGCAATGCGTAGTTAATTTACGTCCTTTACCTCAACTTCCGGGTCTGCACTTGCATCTTGTAAATATTCTGTCTGTACATTTTTAGCAATGATCAATTTCTTCAATTCTTCCACCAGGCTAACAGTTTGGCCATGTAGAAGAACGCCATGAGAGATCTCAGCCTCTAGTAATTTGAAAATTTCATACCAGGAACCATTAAACAAATCCTTTCGTTTCACCGGCGTGTACATATCTACCAGAATGCTCTCAACTGCACCGTCGTTTAAAGCCCTCACAAGATGTTCTACATCTGGAAATTGTTTTCCTGGAAAATTTAAGTCATCTTTATTGGTTTAGAATAATAAGGGCTGATGTCCGCACCGTCTGAGGAGTTGTACTATGTTAGAGATAAATGTGTTTAAAACCGTGCGGAAAGAGAAGATGGAGCCTGTATAAATCTTACTGTTATAGGCTTATTACAAGAGTACTTTCCATTGCAATATTCCCTGTAGCTCAGTAGTACGGCATTTGAGTAGTACTAGGAAGGTACATGTCCCCTTTGGGGGCTCCATCTTCCCACCATGGTGATTAATCCTTTGACTCAGATAAGGTACAGAAGGTTTTTTTCTTCACTTTTGTTAGGCAAATTTTTTATCGATTTTCATCAACTTTATGATATTCTAATCTCATATCGTAAAAGGCTTTCACAAGAAAATACAAAAGAAATCTTACCAACAGTGACTTTGCCACTAAGAGAACCAATTGCAACACGTTTTTCAGGCGAATCAGCCACAACTGCAACCTAAAGTAATTTCGTTAAGTTTGTGATGAAAAGTTGTTGAGGAAATTTGTATCGTATAAACGTTTTCTATCTGTGAGTTGAAGTTGAATGTATCTGTTGATTGGGGCCAAATGGAAAGAGTTGCTAAGGTCAGAGGGATACGGGGACCGTTCCAATAATTTTCTAACTATTTTCGATGTTCTGTAATTCAAATTAATACCTAAAGATTGAGATTCACTTACCGTTTTCATATCTGTTCCTTGCGGTGATCCAATAGTTTTCTTGACAGTGGTAACAGTCAGCAGTGAAGTTAAAGTTCCCATGAAAACGGAGAAGATCACAAGGCCGATAAGAAACCAGACTATAGCGAATAATTTGCCAGGTATAGACTTCGGACAAAGATCACCATACCTAAAAAGAGCTATTTGCATCAACTGGTTGTAAATAATTAAGTAGCTGTTGAAAAACAGCAATTAAATTCAGTTCGCTGGTGTGTTGATGCTGGTTTAAAGTGGCTAGTACTTGTAACATATATAACACGGGGGGGAAAGGGTACTTTTGTTCTCGCCAAGGGCCAATCGCTTGGAAGCTGTTAGCACTCACCCATGATCAAAAGATTAACCTGGCCTTAATGTTCAAAGTAAATGCATTAATTAGGTCTAATGGATGGTATTATCTCGTTGTGATGCAAAATTGAAGAGAGAAGGGAACAACCAATACAGCTGTCTTCAACACTATATCAAACAAATACAATCAGCTTGAGTTTGCTTAATAGAGTTTTTGAATAACGCCACCCCATAGCTTTAATACTGTAATTTGGTCGGAAATAAAATGTTTCCTCCCAAACGTAGGGTCAATCAGAATTCTCTCCAGCTAAAACATTATTTTTTCTAGTACCCGACAGTTGTCATAGAAATAAATGACCACCAGAATCCTTGACCAGCTCCTTTAACGAACTGATGGGGAAATTGTTCAGAGTTTTCCTTGGAATCCTGTGAAGAACACAGAAATATGTCACTAACGAGTGATATCTTAAAAACAGTATAAATAGTTCAGAATCGTGTTCCGGTGGCAACGGAGTGACTTGTGATGATCAGTGCTACATAAGTTTCTTATTTAGGTTCCTCGTGAGGAACCAAAATGAACGAAATATCGATCCTGTTTGACTGCGAGGAATCAGCGTACGACGGTGCAGAAAACTAGAGCTCTGGTTTGTTATGATTTGATCAAGAAAAACTGTTTTGATCTTGAGTTGTTGCCTACATTGAGGATTATGGAACTTTTTTTAGATAGAGGTTTCATAAAATAAGTCAACGGCGTAAGAAAGAGTTTTCTAAAGAAGGAGCTTCCAATACCCTCAATTCAGGAGGGTGTCTATACTCTTTATCACACCTTGACCACACCTTTGTAGGGTCCTGTTGTAGTCCTGAGATAATTTATAAGACGCTCAATGATACCTACCAAACACCAGATAACTATTCCCGCTAATGTAGCCGTCACTACAGTTACCACTGCGATAGGCCACGATGATAGAACCGAGCCGCTTGCCAGTTGGGTCAGCACCAGGCCTAGATCTGACTTCCTTGTTATCACCAATACTCCTGGAACTGTAATCACTGGCACAAACCTGCTGTATTCACTCTGCCCAAATGAGGTTTTGCTGACTGGGAAATCAAGTCCATTGCCATCGTCACTCTTATTACTATAAATAAGTTTTGTTGTGTAATCCTCGCATTTACCACAAGTGTCTAAGAGAAGGTCCGATATGACTTTTGTCAAAGTGGAAGTGATAATATCCAGCTGTGAGTGCGAATTCGAACGAGCTGTGATAAACTCCGCGCACGCGCAAGTCACTGTCGAGGAAAAAAACACAATCATGATCAATATGTAGCTTTTCTTCACAGTGCCGATAGAATGTTGGATAAAAAATACGATACGTTTGGCCTCTTACAGAGCGCCAGAGTTGAAATTTTATCGTATCATTGGAGAAAGTAGTAATGGTTGGTTTGTCACCTTTCGCGTTGAGCGCGCTTGGTGTTACATTACAGGAGCAAATAAAACCCAGTGAAGATTGAAAATTGGCTGTGACACCACGCAAAGCTATTCTCACGTGGTTTACTTTTCATTTGTTACTAAAAATAAAATACCAACCTCCATACACAGCCTCACTGTATTTTCCAACACCTTCTGAGGTGAATACAGCCATTTTTATCTTATACCGTGCAAATGGTAAAAGGTCTGTAAGATTGTACTCTGTTTTAAACTGATGACAACCGAATATCAAGGACCTCCATAAAGCATCCTTTTTTGGAATTCCATTAACTTCAATGAGTTTAAACTCCAAATCGTATCCAATAATTTCTCCTTTGACACCAGAAATTGTCTTTGGATCCCACCTGACCAGTATGGTTGTTTGCGATTTTCTTATCGATGCAGTGATCTTTGGAGCAGTCTCATTAACAACTGGCACTGGTTCTGGTGACACTGGCGTTGCTGTTGTTACTGCTTAAAAAATTTAGACATTAAATAGTAAGAAACTGAGGACTGGTTATTTGGACGAGATGTAGCCCAGACCGCGGTTTTACGCAGGCATTGGGCCTTACGTCACGGTATTCTCTATAAGAGGGTCGATTTCATCGGATAAATGTCCTTCCACAGCTAGCTCTCAAAAGCAAACTTTTAGATAAGAGATTCAGCTAAATTCAAGATAATTTGGTTGTATCAACTAAGTTGAAATTGTAAATTGGCCACCGTAATGAGTTAAAAAGCAGACGTTTTGAGCGTTAGCCCTTCGCCAGAGCGAATTAACGCTCGAAACGTCAGGTTTTGAACTCTTTACGGTGGCCAATTTACAATTTCAACTTCGTTGATATAACCAAATTACCTTGTTACCCTCACCGACGCAGGACCACAGTTTCTTTAGAAACTTACCCGCCAAATTCAAGATAGTTTAGTACACGGTTTTGTTAAACAGCGGCTAGACCTTGTTAAACCTTATTATTAAACCTTATTATTAAACCTTATTATTATGATTATTATTATTAAACCTTATTATTAAACCTTATTATTATTATTATTATTATTAAACCTTATTATTAAACCTTATTATTATTATTATTATTAAACCTTATTATTAAACCTTATTAGACCTTATTATTAAACAGCGGCTAGACCTTGTTTAAATAACCGGCCCTAACTGTACTTATTGAAGGGTTATCACAGATCCCATCGATAAGATTCTGTTGCCTTAATTTGTCTCGACCAGTTTTACTGGTCTCTCCGTATTCACGCCCTTCATTCTATTCCGTGCTAGGTGGTGTTCTTTATAAAAGTTATCTAAATGAGTAACCACTACTGGGTGAAGACGCAGTTACCGAAGGTTAACGCCCAGGGCCCAGTTGTTCGAAGACCGATTAGTGCTAACCCAGGGTTAAATTTTAGTCCAGGTTACTATATTTCTCTGTTCAAAAGCCGTTTTAAGATAATTTTCCCAGTTCTTCTTAGAGCATGCAAGCACCAAATTGTAAACAAATGAAATTAGAGTGAATTTAATTTTAAAGCTTTCAGATCTGCAATTAAATTTCACGGTAACCCTGGGTTATCTTAACCCACCTTTGAACAACCCGGCCCAGGACTCTAAGTGAAGAGGTCCCATTTCGCACCCTAGAAAGGTGACTGTGGTGTATCGTTAGTTGAGGCAGCTTTCACCGTGCTTCTCCCCACCCATGGGTGTAAGTGAACACCAGAACACCGTCAGGAAAGTCTGACAAACTGCTTTGGGGAATCTTCGGATAAGCTAGCATCACATTAAGAGGCATAACTTAGTTCAAGATGTGAGAAACAGTGCTGAACCGAAAGTTATGGACCCATATGTAGGTAAGATGTGCTTTGGGTCTAAAAATTTAGTTTTGAAGTGTATAACATGGATACTACGAAAACTTTAGAAAAGGAATCAAACGAAACACTCACAATTCTCTGCCTGAAGACACCCTGTGGTGTTTCCCCACCCTGCAGTAGTGAAACTTGCCATTTCGACACAGCCACTGGACTCCACGGTGATTTTCGTCACACACCATCCAACAGTTATTGTCCTGTTAGTATCGCGAATGAAAATGATATATCCTAGTATTGTCTGGTTAAGCATAGGTTTCCAATGGACAGTTACTGATGAGGATCCATTAGTGGTGGCGTTTGCTTCTGGTGGAGGCGGAAGGGACACTTCTAGGAGGAAAAACATCATGTTATTGTAGGTGCACAGTAGCTCTGGTACTGACATGGATCCAAGCAGTTCAAACCTTCCTTTCCTTTATTAACACAAAACGGAGGAAGCTGGTTTCTTACCTTCTTTTTCTGTAGAAAGGTAATAACAGTCACTGAGACTTTCATCCCCGGATTCCAAGGTAATGGCTCCAATGCGGACACAATACTTGGTGAACGCTGACAGATTTCCAATCTCACAAGATGTGACATTAGGGCCAACCGTAAAGTTCCTTAGCAGCTCGCCCGCCATGTTTGATGTCGACCGTATCTTCCTACTCTTCCCTGCTCTCATGCGGAGCACTAACACGCGGTAGGCCACCAAATGGAATCTACCGGTGTAAGGTTTCCATTGGACTGCTACAGAGCTGGGGCTTGTTTTTAAAGTGATCATGTTTGATGGTTGTTCTAACGTTGAATCCGGTGAGTCTAGGAGTGGAGAAAAAAGGAAATTAGACTAAGATGAGGTTTCTGTGACACTCAGATATGATAAACAGAGGTAGACGCTGTAAGCGGATGCCCAATTTTCATTATAACATAACCAAAGTAAAGCGCGCGCTCTGATTGGTCAATTTAGCGTCCCCCATTTGCCCACGGGTGTACGCTGCTGACGTGAGCAAATGCAAAGACTATTTCTCCGCGCACGCTTGTTTTTTTCTGGTCACGTAAGATTTGTTAAATAAAAGGGAACTCTAGCTACATTGTGTTAATGTTATGTTATAAAACAAATGGTAAACACCACAGCGTACACTATAGAGTTATGGATGCACTTGGGAGGTTTGCTAAGCACTCAAGAAGCTAGAGTCACTCTCGGCTATCGCCTCGAGCGACTCTTACGCTTCTTTCGTGCTTAGCAACTTCCCGCGTGCATCCATAACTCAATAGTGTACGCTGTGGTGTTTACCATTTGTTAAACAGACGACATCTTCTGCGACTGTGAATAAGAAACCCTTTAAATCAAGAGATGATTGACACGAAAGCGTTCCTTAAATCTTCGATACATTTTCAATCCACTAACGCTTTACACCCTAACATCAGTCTGCGTATTCTCCATACTTTTCTCTATACATATCCTAAGGTGTTGACAAAGAGAATTTTTGAAACAATCAAGAGCTCGTCTTTTTATTCTCATGACCTCAATGCTTGATTTAGCAGTGACAATTTAAAGAGAAATTCAATAGCAGTCTCCCTCATCCTTTAACCCTATGAAAAAAATGTTTTTTTAATTCTTATATCATTAGCACACACTCACTGCATTGTTTTTTAGCGCACATAGCACAAGCACAGCACATATCTGCTGAAGATGGGCTGTATTGCCCTTTACAGATTAGACATTTAGATTTAGATCTGACGTCAATTCTCCCCTCTAGCTGCTACACGTTTCCCTGTGAATTACTTACACGAAACTGGTGCTTGATTAAGATAACAACTTCTACCTGATAAGTTTGAGTATTCTCATTACCCGTTTGCTGGATAATGTATGGATGTTATAGGGAGAAGTTACATGTTGATCAGTGCTGGGAGTCAGAGGGTTAGGATGAACGTGTTAATAGACGGTGACGTCTTTACGTGCCTGGGCAACCTTGAGAGATACAGCTTCTGTTCTGCTGATATGAACTCTCACTGCAATTACACGGTGATACGCAAGTCCTGTTACGAAACTGTACACCCTGATCACATGACTTGCTGCAAATGCTCCATTCACTCCATTGTGTCCAACGAAAAGAGCTGTTGCCAGACTCATTTCCTGTAATATGATATTTTGACTGATATCATGATGGCGACAAAGCTAAAATACTTCTGTGAAATTCAAGAGTTTGATCATAGAAATTGGAAATGATAACGTGTCTCAGATCCAAAATATATAACGGTATATTTATCTCTATGAAGGAGTTTTGAGAGGGGAAAACAGAATGAATATCACCAATTCTTTAATGGCCCTACATACTTTGGAAATTACCATCAAACTTATTAAAGAAAGAATCAAGAGGCGCAATTTTCCACAGTTTTCCCTAATTTAAAAAAAAATTTCATCCAAATCATGGAAAAATTTGGAATTGATTGATCTGGTCGCACAGCTTTGGTTGAATGACTTGTTACATGACCGTTCTCTAAATATACTCTCACAAATTTCATAGCATATGACCGTCACCAAAGCGTTCACCGAGGCTCAGTGATAGTGTCAAACAAACAAATTAATCTTAATGAGTTCTTTTCATGACTGAATCTGTTTTGACTACAAGTCCATAGTAATATTTAGCACCCTTAGCACACCTTGACAGCCGTATAGCTCCACTCTCATTGATATGTGACTCTCCCACGTTAATGGCTGGAAACGGATGTAACGTGCTATGATTGGTGGATTTAAATCATGTGACACAACGCTGGTATTGTCTGTATTTCCTGGGAAAATCTTCGACAATAAGATGGGAAACTCGTCATTACAATAAACTAACAATTATAAATAGTTCTTCATGTCCAAATCGTTTCGCAAGCTTCAATAAACATCGAATCAACACTTCAACTTTATAAATTTAATGTGAATATTCACTTGTCTGGGAAGAGAAACCATGAAATGCTAATTTTTTTCACTCTCCAAGTTATTAAACATAAGCAAGTAGGCCTTTTGCAGTTAGAGATCACGTGCTTAGATACCGCATAGCAACGCCATACTGGAGAGCAAGCACTCCAGTGATCTCAGACAAAATAGAGATCACAGAGGTCTGCATTCAAACAAAGAATACAGCGGATAACAAGTTCAAGAGTATCCCAATTCGAGAAATCTTGTAAGTTTTAATCAACAGCTTCCTTGGAGTGTATCTGCGAAAAACGAATTTTGTTGTGATTTTGCTGCTGATACACTCCGGGGAAGCTGTTGATTACTTCTTACTGGATTTCTCGAATTAGGATACCTTTTGACCTGTTATCCGCTGTATTCTTTGTTTGAATGCAGACCTCTGTTACCTCTATAATGTCTGAGATCACTGGAGTGCTTGCTCTCCGGTATGGCGTTACTATGCGGTATCTAAGCACGTGATCTCTAGCTGCAAAAGGCCTATTAATGACAATGCTTATCCACCACGGGACCAGGCATTCTCATACTTGAATCTTCAGAAACTTCCTTTGTCCCTGAAATCTTTCGCGTTACACCTGATTGTGCTTGCTAAAAAGGCATCTTCACCGGGATAATTTGACAGATGCCGGCAATGTCTTATGTTCCGTAAGAAAGTCCCGGAATTACAATCGAGAGTGTTGCCTGGTTACTAAGGCGTTACCTAGTACTAAAAGGACAAATGATGATAATGATGCCAAAAAAGGGGCATTGATTGAAGAAATGCGAACTAAAACAACAGGCAAAGTTTCAGATGGTCTACTGTACCTCCGTTGAGTTTGGTGATGATACCTTGTAGTTTTCAAAGGTATCTGTCTCATTACTGTATTGTAAGTGGTACGATTTCACCCACTGATTGAACCTATCACTGGCTCTTCCTAGTGTTGCCACACCCGTGACTTGAGTACAGTAAGTTATTAGGTCAACTTGAAGCCATTGTTTCTGATCTAGCTGTAAAGCTGACCACGATCCATGACCATAATCGACATTAGGTCGGCTATACTCGGCAGCATTAACATAGCCGTACTCTGAAGAGGCACTTATTTGATCATGAGAAATTTCACCCCTTTCCATACCCAAGGCGTCCTGACATTCAGAACGTGCTGTGAAGCAGGGAAAATCAATCAGTACATCACTCAGTAAGCCAATAAGTCAGTCGGTTAATCATAACCTATTTAGACTTTCCCTCTCCCCTGTCTGTCGATCTCCAGTTGCAAAAGTTAACTTCTTACTTTGGCTCGATTCAATCGCAAATATACGAATCTCGTGTAAGTGTTTTGTGTCCCTATCACCTATGCATTTTTAAGCCATATTATTGTGACTCTGAGAAACTCCAAATTAATTGCATAGAAATGTAAATAATATTCCTACAGCCTAATAGATCACATTATCTCCGATTAACGAATTAGTATCATCATGATCACCGCCAAACATGGTGAACGTGTAACTTCCTTTACAAAATCAGTACCATTCAGTAATCAGATCACTGGAAACTCATTTAAAAGGAAAAGGGCAATGCACTAGAATGAAAACTCAGAGTTTTGGGAAGTTAAGGTATGAATTCATTTCTATCTGTAGCAATTACTGAATGGCAAATGAGCAAATGACTGACCAAAAAGGAAATAAAGTATCCCTTGCGCGTTTTTTTTAAATCTGGTATCCCCAATTATTTAACACATCACCAGCTAATGCTGGCCTGATCCAGGTTATCCAATCTTTGATAAAAGTTACCTGGACACGCATGTTCAGAACAATTTTTTTTCTGGTACTGTTTATTACACGGTTTACTACTACACGGTTGTTCTGCTCTATATCTCTTTGATGCGCCCCCACCACAGGTCTGACTACAAACACTCCATGAGCTCCAACTGCCCCAGACTGGTCTTGACTGTGATCCTGATCCCGATCCCGATCCCGATCCTGATCCTGATTCTGATTCTAATTGGTAAGAAAATTAAAAAAGTAAACAAAAACAACACAGCTTAGTTAGTCAGAAAATCGGGACCATTCCAATAAACAACCTATCCGGGCACAGAGACACCAGGAATTCTCCATGGGGGGAGGGGGTACCTACAAAAGCATTTTACTGGCCTTTAGAGATATTAAGAGGTTTTGCCAAAGCAAGTTATCCCTCTCTTTTGACGGGGAGATGAATAGATATGCATGTCAAGACAAACAACCCCTCCCCCCATCCCTTGCCCCTTTATTGAGCTACTTGAAGAGCCGATGACCAAGAAGGCCAAGGTCTCACCAGTGTAGAGAAAGAAACCGAATTACATTTTGTTTCAAGTATTTCAACAGGCGATGTTTTCCGTACAGCAAAACTAAAAGTGCATTTTTGTGCCCTGAGTATACCTTGCTCTTCAATAGCACAGCCACTGGAAACACCGTCGCCATAATTGGTAAATCCATAGACCATCACACAGGCAATGATGTCACGTTTAGTATATGTAGGGAAGTTATGACTGTTATCCTCAGCAGAAGATTGCCATTTGTCTTCAGAAGAGTCAGCTGTCGTTCTAACTTCTACAAAGTATCCACCGAGAACGTCCCCATGAAAATACACAGGCAGTGGACGCCATCTGACCACCATCCCACCATCGTCAACTGAAAACGAAACGTTGTCAGGAGCACGTGTCGGTACTGGAAGAGAAAAGGAAATTATTTCAGTATCTGTTATAGTATCCTACCATGGTTCACACTGAGGCGTCTTAGCCAAACCAAAGCAAGTTTTTCCCATCCGCCCAAACATACGTTTTCATTTCATTTCCACACTAGAACGCTCAGAGATATAACGAGTTTTGGCTCGCCTTTTTCATAATTTCCCCATTTTCACTCATTCACTCATTACAAAACACCAAACAGTTGTCTATAATTCTCGCTGGAAATTTAAACGTATGAATATTTACATTCATAAATCATCAATTTAAATAACTCCCATGATTTATTGCATTTTATCATAAGTCATAGTACATGCGCTATCATTGGTCAATTTAGTGGCCGTATTTCACTGCACGGCCGCTAAATTCAAAAGCTTGTTTCAAAAGAAATCATTCCCCTCTGTTTGAACCCATAGATATACCTTATCATAGGAAATTAACGCTGCATAAATTTAACGCGAATTGTTAAAATTCGCGTTAATTTAAGTCGCGTTATTTTTGTTGAGCGTTAATTTCCGCAGCGTTAATTTCCGCGCTCTTAATTTCCATTATTTTAACCTCAATTTTAGAACCTGTCCAGACATTCTGGACGCTTAAAAAACATTAACTATAAGCTTTCTTTCTTTCAATTTACCCTTTATTTTTCATCTTTCACAGAAGCTAAGGTGCAGGTTCACAATATTTCGAGTTTATCTTCATCGTTGTCGCTGTCAGAAGTGATGTCAATATCTTCTCTTTTGATCTCGGCCAAGATAGGCTTCGAATCGTCAACATAGTCTTTCTCGACAGAGTATGAGACATCCTCTGTTCTCTCTTTCAAAAGCGCCAGATTTCTCGCATTGCTCTACTGGACAGAAACGACCATTGGTATTTCAAGGCCTCCTTGAATTAGTGGCGATCTTTTCGGCTTCACTGAAATAACTCTTCCTGTAAATTTGGCTCCTTGTTCCAAAGCATACTTCACATAACGGCTCAGTTCTTTTGGTACGCGACAAACAACCACATGGCTCAGTTTTGTCCAGTTGTTAATTTCTTGGTATCCAGTGTTGAAATAAATTTGTTCCAGATGTCACCACCAACTCCTCCTCTTTCGCGTTAATTTTCTTTATTCGAAACTCGTTTTCCATTAAATTCGCGTTAATTTAAGTCGCGTTAATTTCCAACACCTTAATTTCATGGAACGTTAACTTCCTATAATAAAGTAATCAATATCTAACCCACTTCGTTTTATCTTTCCGTACTTTAAGTTATGGAACCTCGTTTTTTCCTCTCGGATTTATGGTCCGCACGCTTCGTCCTTGGGCCTAAATCCTTATGGAGAAAACTTAATCTATAACTTACAATATGGACCTCGAACTCGCTAAGTAAGCATCTATTTGTTTATTTTAAGGAACAAGTTAATGTGGTTTTATTCGCGTACATGACATAAGGCTACTTAGGACTGGGGATGAAGCAGTGAGTTATAAGATCACTTAAATACCTCTTGTGGAATCATCTTGCCCATAAATTTCCAGCCTTAAACATGGTTTGCCACCCCGATCCATCGGCCGCAGCTTCACATAACGCGCTACAACCCCAGGCTCCAAAATGTTTTTCTTTACACGGTAGTAGTTGCTGTTGGCTTCGAATTCCTAAAACGCATTTAGGGACCGGTTATTGTTTATCTCTTTGGGGGGGAGGGTGGAGGATTTTGGTTGCAAGTCAGAAGAAAGTCTATCTAAAACTTGCTTTACTCGTTCAAGTTTGACTCACTATTCATTCTTAAAGGGCCACCACCACTTCACCTGCTAAAAATTCCATCCATCGAGTTAATTCGTTAAAATGTAAGATTTCAGAAATCTCCAAATTCAGACAAACCCTTTCCTGTTGCTAGGTTACAAACCTTGACAATTCCATTTTCGTTGTAAAGCTCGTACTTCCTGTCTTTGTTTGCCAGTTCAACGCTGTACTTCCTCACGTAAACCCCGCTATGCTGAGTTTCTGAATTCCTCTGAACCCCCTGGGTACCAATCGCACAAATAAAATGAGGTGATCTCAGGTCGACCTCGAGATAAACTTGCATATTGGGTGAAGCACACCACCCCTCTACGGAACTCAGGCGCGCATCATGGGTTGAATTGTGGAATTGTCTTCTGTTGGATTGCATGGCAGAGTCTGGTAAGGCTCTGTTTTCTAGGCCAAGAGGCATATCAGAACAGTTTTGATGTGGCCAAGCGAAATCTGCAATAGATTTCATTCAAAAACAAAGATATCAGTAAAAATAAACAAAAAATACGTGTTGAGAGATGACTAAGAAGAACAATTATCCCTGAAACTAATTTAGACGATTTCCGTAGAACACATTTATTTACGCAAATATCTGATTACACAGTGGACAGAGAACAGCATGGTTACCAATCCTACAGCCTCAGCTTCACCTCGCTTTTAAGGAACTAAGTTCTGGGAATGAAAATGTTGAATACGGAAAGCTTATGATAACTAAAATCCTGAAAAATTTTGCCATGTTATCTTACAAAAGGTCCCGTCAAGACCTGACCAAAACCTAGCCAGAATCTCTAGAATTATTGGGGAGGAAATTTACATTCAAATCAATGGCGACCCACCTTTTCGCTTACAGGAAAAGGAACATTTTTCTGAACACAGTTTCACCTTCCAATCTTCACTGTTCTCATCATAAGCAACACACTCATGTGCTCTTAAAGTTCGATTGTTCCATTTTGTAAAGGTCGCTACAGAACCGTCGTTCCAATGGAGTTGGTCGCTCGTAGAACGCAAGCCAATCCACGAGCAAGTCTTTGGCTTTCCTTCAGTTAAGGATTTGACAAACTGATTCTCAGCCTTACTGTAGAGAGACACCAGATCAGAATTATGGTTATAACACTCAATAGAGGCGTCGCTCCACTTCACCTTGCCTCCATTCTCCCCTAGACCAAAGGCACGATAGCAGCTTCCGTTATAGCTTGACCATCCCTTTAAACATGCTGTGGAAGAGAGAAAATAACTTTTGGTGACTAGTCATTATTTATCGCCCAATGGGGTCGGGATGTTTTGGGGGGATCACAGGGTTTTAAAGGGGAACAAAGGGGGAATCGGTCGTTGCCAACAGGGAATATAAGTGGAAAATNGCGCTACAACCCCAGGCTCCAAAATGTTTTTCTTTACACGGTAGTAGTTGCTGTTGGCTTCGAATTCCTAAAACGCATTTAGGGACCGGTTATTGTTTATCTCTTTGGGGGGGAGGGTGGAGGATTTTGGTTGCAAGTCAGAAGAAAGTCTATCTAAAACTTGCTTTACTCGTTCAAGTTTGACTCACTATTCATTCTTAAAGGGCCACCACCACTTCACCTGCTAAAAATTCCATCCATCGAGTTAATTCGTTAATATGTACATACATACATACACTCATACATACATACATACATACATACATACATAGGTTAATTGACCACTTCCCATAGGGGCTTTTCAGGGCCAACACCCACCCATCCCACCTAGGGAGTACATCCACCACGCAGTAATCTCGTGCGTGGGAAATTAACGTCTCCTACCCCTAACCCTGCAGGAGACGGGGCCTACGGTTTATTCGTTCTTATCCGAGAAGACTAGAATATGGATCCATTTCTTGATTATATTTTAAGACCATGATTATTGGTCCGGCCGGGGCTCCAACCCTCGACCTCCCGCGCAACACAATCCGGCGCTCTAACCAATTGAGTTCACCGGGAGGCGGTAGCTCAATTGTAAGATTTCAGAAATCTCCAAATTCAGACAAACCCTTTCCTGTTGCTAGGTTACGAACCTTAACAATTCCATTTTCTTTGTAAAGCTCGTACTTCCTGTCTCTGTTTGCCAGTTTAACACGGTATTTCCTCACGTATTCCCCGCTAGGTTGAATTCCTGAACTCCTCTGAACTCCCTGGGTACCAATGCCGCAAATAAAATGAGGTGATCCCAAGTCGACCTCGAGATAAACTTGGCCACTGGGAGAAGCACACCACCCCTCTGCGGAACTTAGGCGCGCATCATAAGCAGAAGTGTCGAATTTTGTTTCGGTGGATTGCATGGCAGAGTCTGGTATGGCTCTGTTTTCTAGGCCAAGAGGCATATCAGAACAGTTTTGATGTAGCCAAGCGAAATCTGCAATATATTTCATTAAAAAACAAAGAAATTATCAGACAAGAAGAACACTACTTTGAACGATTTCCATAGAACAAATATTTTCCTACGCAAATATCTGATTACACGATAGACAGAGAACAGCAAGGTTATCAGTCCTACAGCCTCGGCTTTACCTCGCTTTTAAGGAACTAAGTCCTGGGAATGAAAAGGTTGAATACGGAAAGCTCATGAGAACTAAAATCCTGAAAAAACCTTGCCATGATATCTTACAAAGATCCTGCCAATGCCTAACCAAACCTGACCAGAATCTCTAGAATTATCGAGGAGGAAATTTACATTCAAATCAAAGGCGACCTACCTTTTCGCTTACAGGAAAAGGAACATTTCGATGAACACGATTTCACGTCCCAATATACACTTTCCTCATCATAAGTAACACACTCAGGTCCCTTTACATTTTGACCTTTCCATTTTGTAAAGTTCACGACAGAACCGTCATTCCAATGGAGTTGGCCTCTCGTTTTAGAACGCAAGCCAATCCAAGAGCAATTCCCAAGCTCTTCTTCAGTTAAGGATTTGACAAACTGATTTTCAGCCTCACTGTAAAGAGACACCAGATCAGAATTATGGTTATAGCACTCAACAGAGGCGTCGTTCCACTTAACCTTGCCTCCGTTCTCCCCTAGACCAAAGGCACGATAGCAGTTTCCGCTATAGCTTGACCATCCCTTTAAACATGCTGTGGAAGAAAGAAAATAACCTTTAGTGACTAGTCATTATTTATCGCCCAATGGGGTCAGGATGTTTTGTGGGGATCACAGGGTTTTCAAGGGGAACAAAGGGGGGATCGGTCGTTGCCAACAGGGATATATAAGAGGAAAATAGAAAATTGGCTTCAATTTGACATAACCAAATTCACCCCCCCCCCCCTTACTCGCCAAGGAAATAACTAGTGACCGGTCCCTGGCGACACATTTTTGTCTCAATCACAACGTTCTACCTCATGTTTCTTCCTGGAAGACGGGAGGTGCACACCATGCTCTCCCAAAAAGATGACCCTATACCATTATTACAGTTATATTTTAATCTGATTTCTATTTTTTTTTCCACACTCTAAGGGTAAGGGTTAGTTTCTCAATTCACTTTATCATTCTAAAGAAAACCTTTACCTGCTGGAGTGTTAAGGTCGGTACACTCGCTCTTATTACCTTCCCCCTCTTCATTATAACCAACGACTTTTATGCAATACGTCGCATTCAATTTCAGGTTGAACAGTTTGGTCGAATTTTCTACACTTTTCTTCTCTTCTAATCCCTTTGCACCAGCTCCTTTTGTTTGATAATACAGCCTATATCCAGTAATTCCCAAGCCCCCACCAAAGTAGTCCGGGATGGAATTCCAGCTTACTAATACCGTTGTCAACGATAAAATCTCCGTGGTCAAATTTGTTGGTGCGCTGGTAGGTGGACCTGTGGAGAAAATCACGAGATGTATCGATGTTAAGTATCTCCACACTGCGCTTGATACACTTTTCTACAGACTCCAAGTATAATTTTAAAAGTCTTTGTAAGGCTTATTTATNCCATACAGACCGACCTAGCTCGGTTAATAAGATGTTTATTATATGTCTGTGTCTTGTATGCCAATTTTTTATATTCTTTGTACCTTTTTCTTCGAGACCTGCCTAGATGCTGGTTTGGATGGGAAAATCTAGACCGCTTTCAATATTGATTTCAGCCAATCAAATTCGTGAATTCGGTAGTTCCCAGTCCTTGTGAGACACAGCCATATAATAATAGTTCATAATAGTTTTTATCATTCATAGCGGCTGTTTTTTTTTTTTTACTCTTAGGAATAAAGCCAATATATGTGTTGCTGGGTTACTGATATACTGTTTGAGTTGAAGATTAGCGTAGCAACATCTGCATGCGCTTGGACATCCCCTATTTCATCTTCTACACGCATGCGTGAGGGTCAAGCCTGGATGAAGCAAGTGTTAACTCACTTCCGTTGTTTCGGAATTAACTCACTTCCGTCGTTTAGGAATTAACTTGCCTGCCTGAGCGTACAGATGCGTCGTTGTTTTTAGCTTACGCGCGACATCTCCAACCCTTCATTTCGAGATATCAGAACTTCCGACTCATGGTAGGCGAGAGCCATATGATGTACCCAGCATTTACGTTCTTCTATGTTTGTGTGAATAGAAGACTGTTATACTGAGGTAGAGACCATCCGTGACCACTAGAACACGTGACCACTAGAACACGTGACCACTAGAACACGTAATATACATTCGACCCAAGCAGAGAAAAATTTTAGTTTAAAAAGCTTAGTTTAGCTAAACAATGAGACCGAAACCAACCTGGAGATTTCAAACTTTTTCCATAAAGCTCAATTCTCAAACAGGGATAAACAAAGAACTCCACCGGCCAGATGCGAACGTATTGAGCTAGCGGAATTTGTTTAAACCCTCTTTTCGATACTTCGTAGGAATTTTGATTTCCTTGAAAGATCTAGAGAAAAAGACGCATGAAACATAATCGTTTTCATTGATAAAAGAGTATTCTTAAAAGCGAATTACACAGACACAAAGAGGAAAATTTTCACTCATAAGGGACCTGTCACTTTTTGACACCTGGGAAGTCGGAGGATATTAAGCAACCTCGTTCCCAAGGTCTCACATCTTCCCGCCCCTCCTCACTCGCTCCAGGGGGCGGGAAGATGAGAGACCCTGGGAACGAGGTTGGATATTGAGGGGATCACATGATTTTCAGGAGGAACAAATGGAGGATCAGTCGTCGCCAACAGAGTATACCGGGAGAATTATAGAAAATTGACTTCTAATTAACTGCCTTTGAGGAAAGGGGGAAGGGGGGAGCAGTCGTAAGAATATTAAAGAGCCTTATAAGGGGGATCAGGTAGCTTTTGTCGTCACAAAACCAAAATCTCCCGATCCCCTCAAGGGATAAATAGTGAGCGGTCCCTTCGAAATTATGTACCTCACTGGTTTCGTTGATATACCAGTCCCATCGTAAGCCATCAATGGAAAACTGTAGACGATACGTTTTGGTAAAAGCGCTGTTTTCGCCAAGCAGTCCTTGTGTAGCGAGAGCGCAGATTCTGTACGAAGAACCCAAATCTATCTCCAAGTATTCTTCTGTAGAATTTCTCTCTGGGCACCAAGCTCCTTCCCCGGCCAATCGAGCTTTGTGTGGTTGTTTGTCGGGTAATGAGGAAGATGCTGAAAATATGTCGTTGTACCTAACGCGATATTCAAGTCCAATGCCCGTGTCCTTGCACTCCAAGTTGTCAGGGTCGGGAGCGACTGTAAAAGAAGTATGACAGCAGTGAATTTCATAACTAAACCAGATACAGGGTTCTTGCACTTTTTCAGGCACCCAATATCAAGCAGACAAGAGATGAAAAGAACGAGAAATATCAATTAGGGGATTGTTAGTTGATCCAACATCAAATTCTCCAAACTAACATCATAAAAATTGTATGGCAGACAGTAAAGAGAATTACTACTGAAATCTTGGGAGCAACACTGTTAAGCCGGTTGGCTAAACTATCATTAAGTTCTCACCTTTCCTCTCACAGATATAAGGTCTGACTTGAGTGCATTCCTCTTTTTGCCACGCACCACTGCATGTTAGTGGATTATTTAAGGCACTACCACAAATCCTGACGCACAAAGTGCTTCTTTCCTTATTATTTTTCCACTCTTTCGGGTAAAAATCGATGGGTGAACCATCCACCCACGAGTGCGTTCTCTTTTCCTCATTCCACTCAGCGCCTATCCAGGAAAAGTTGTCAGCCAAAGCTGCAACAAATTTGTTCTCTTCGTAATTGGCGACGGTCACAAGATGAGAGTGGCGACTGATGCATTCCTGCTTGGCACGTGACCAGTTTGTTGGTTTCTTTACATGGAAATAGCACGAGTCTTGATATCTTGTCCACGAAATGGGGCAGGCTGTGAAACAAGATCATTCTTTCATGTACATGTCTGTAGAATTAATTTCACTTCCACTTTAGTTAAAAAGGGAAACAACCCAGACTGAGAGATGGGAATACTTATGATTAGTATTTACCACACAGGTGAATAGTGCTTTTTGCTTGCGCTGATTGGCTATTTCGGAAATGATTAGCAAGTACTATTCATCTCGGAGGAGCGGAGGAGACAAAATTGCGTCTCAAGTTTTGATTTCCGAACATTTTTATGATACAGTGACAGAAAAAACTGGTTTTTTTTTGCTGTATGGTACATACTAAAACAATTATTTACCGCAACGTCGGCGAAAGTGTTACAATTTGTTTTATTTCTAGCAATATAGTTTATGCATTCTAAAGATTATCCATCAAAATAAACTGAATAATACTCATGTTCCTCTTTGATAATATTCTAAAAATAGACACAGTAGTTATGATCAATACTATCTATGTGCCACTAAGACACGTATTATGTTACTTTATTTAATGTTATGAAAAATCAATTATGATGATTAACACTATCATATTTTATTGGGGTAGGAAAATCAAATAACTGCCCTAAAGAAACGGGTGGTAAAATCACATTATAGCCTGAAAACCAGATATGAGAGCAAAACCATTAATATTCTGCTGCACAAAATATGGATTGCTCGTCCCTTGGGAAGGGAGGAAGGGGTTCTTACCACCATCCCGAGTTGTAATATTAATACACTTTGCAGCCGGTCCATCTCCAGCCTCATTAAAAGCCAACACAGTTACACAGTATGTATGGTTGGCGCCCATCCCGACATAGAGTGAACTTGTGTTTCCATCCAGTGTCCAATTATGGTGACGGCCGTTTGTATAGTGGAAGATGACTTTGTATCCTGTCACTAGACCCCCATAGACTTTTGGAGGACTCCAAGAAATGCCAATAACATGCATGTCGCGTGGATCTTGGAAGACTTCTTTAATTATTGGCGGACGAGTTGGGGCTATGGCTTAAAAAAAAAATTAAAAACACATCATGTTTGTTATCTGAATCATTTCAAATGTTGCCTGCTGTTTTTTTTTTTTTTTAGTAATTATTTAAAGACATTGTCACTACTGTTGGTTGTCCTCCGAAATTTTTCAAGTCGAATGTTCGAAATTGCGCTCGGCAAATGTCGGAACTAGGCGAGAACGTTTCGGTGGGACAGGTTTTACACTGACGAGGCTAGTATACTTGAGAAATGAGGTAACCAAAGAGATAAGGGTTAAGGTTGGCAGAAAGCGGTCGTCAAAGTTGGAATGCGTACGCTTGTCGTATGCGCAAAATTTACGACAACAGCGTTTGTGAAATGGCGATTACCACTTACTTCCAAGTTTTTTTCGAAATCAACCCAACTTTTGGGTTCAATATTGGGTTCTGTGCTGTCGAACCACCCAGTTTGTAAGAAACTACAGGAAAAATATGCTGAACAAAAACTCACGAAAGTTAGCCTTTCGTGATGATAATAACTCTGTAAACAGACCTGTGAAGTTATCTAATGGCCATCCATAGATTTCCACGCGCAGACATGAATAATTATTCGGTACAATAAAAGTCACAGTGTTTGCCATAACGTCGCCTTCGAGTGTGTTAACATGGACCGTGTTTGAATTAGAATTCCCTTCTAAAGTCTAGAAAAAAAAAAGGTGAATAGTAGATGCAAAGCTTCTGGCTCTAAATCTAAAAAATTTAAAAAAGAGGTTGAAATGAAAAGTCATCGTTCATGGTCAAAAGACCACTTTTTTTTTTAAATCGGTGTCCAAAGTTCTTTCATAACTTTGTGCCTTAGTGTGCCCCTTATGGTCATAACGGGTAGCATGACCTCTCAATTATTGAATAGAATATGTATTATAACAGGGGTGGGATACAAGCGGCGCAGAACTCCCCCTTCCTTCCCGAGATGACCAGCAGCTTCTCGATATGACTTCTCGGTTATGTAAAATCTGCTGCATCGTTTGTAAGGATTATGTATTCTCAGCAGTTCACATTATCTTACTGCTTTGTCATAAGCTTTCTTCTTCGTTGTTCGCCTTGGATACTAGTCACTCTTAGAGGTAAAAAATTGAGGGGCCTGGATACTAGTCACTTTTAGAGGTCAAAGGATTGAGGGGCCTGGGTACTAGTCACTCTTAGGTAAAAGGATTGAGGGGCCTAGATACTAGTCACTCTTAGAGGTTAAAGGATTAAGGGGCCTGGATACTAGTCGCCTCTTTGAGGTCAAAGGAATAAGGGGCCTTTACACCTGAAATTATTTTTTGTATCCTTCCCTTTGTCTAAGTCAACCGTCATTTACGTCATTCTTTAGTGGTGCACCAGCTACTAAGAAAAATCCTCGATTCGCTTCCGAATCATCTCGAAAACCTCTTGGTTCAGAAACTGTTGTCTTGTCTCAGATGACAATTTCCTTTCTCTTCAATTAAAAATGAGTTAGAGTCTCAACTCGTCTAAGAATTGAAGAAAAAATGATAAAAACAAAACAAAACAAAAGAAGAATTTACCTTATTTCCGCTTGAATCTTCATAAAGATCGTTTCCTTGACTCGTTTGAAAATGAAGTCTGTACTTTTTAGTAAATGATTTCCGCTGAGAATTCCCTTGCGTAGCAACAGCGCAAATAACGTGTGGTACAACCAACTTGACTTTTAAAAGGCGGTCTGATGAACCTGGGCACCAGGAGCTAGGTCCATCCAATCGTGCGTATCGAGGATGGGTTAAGTTGTCGTAAGAAGATTTGGCTACTAGCTGCTTGTCTGTTATTGAGCCTGTCTTGACACCCAGAGGACAACTTAAACATGTTTGGTTTTTCTGACAAGATACTGAAAAGTCCATCATAGATAACAACAACATAAGTAAAAGCTAGATTTCCGATATATAATACAATAGATAGACAAGATGGGCGACAAATTATGTTAAAGAGAAATGCCACCATGCATTGCAACTCATAACGAACCGCACTTCCATCGTCGTTGTATAATAACAAGACTGCATAATAACAAAATTGCAAGATTGTTCAAGGTAAAACACGTACCATTTTTGCCGCATTGTTTGGTGTCAGAAAGCTGATAGGAAGAATTCAGCCTGCTGTAGACAGACGGGAAAACCTGGCACGAGCGGTTTCGTGTTTGGATTCCCCCTTGACATGCGCTCCACTCGCCCCAGTCTCCTGGAATGTATTCGCCGAGGATTCCATCTGCCAACCATCAAGGAAGAGGAATTAACCCCAAAATTCTTAAGCATTCTATTTTCGTAGGCAATGTGACCCACATGGAAACACCTATGATTTAAGTAACTATATTGACTGATTTATCTGATTACTAACAGACCGATAGAAGGAATAATTGCACTGATTGACTGACTAACAGATTTCATGGATAAGTGCTAACTGATCGCACGACAAGTTGACTTACCGGGTGTCTTTCCCTTCCGTGACAGACTGTTAGGCCCAGTCTACCAAGTAGCTCACTGACTGACTTGACATATTGACTAACTCACTGAATAACTAAATTTACTAAAATGACTCAATTACTGTTTGAATAACTTAATAACTGAAAAATTGAGTGGCTAACTGATGGCCGACTGATTGCCTAAGTGACTGTCTGACTGTCTGAGCGACTGACTGTTTGACTGACCGACTAACTGACTGGATGGCTCACTGACTGACTGACTGATTAAATGACTGACTAACTGACTGACTGGCTAACGGATTGGCTGACGGTCCGACTAATTTGTCCAATGATCTGCCATCCATCCTCTCTAGTGCTCATCTGTCTTACTGTCTAAGCGTCTTGCTAAGTGTTTGACTCATGCGTTCTCACCTTTCTTGTAAGCGACAAGATAATCTAAAGGCAACGGACTAAGTAGAGTTCCGTTTGGCTTCGTGACAGACATCGAAATATACGAGCTCTCGTTTGAGACAACGTGAAGCACAGTCAAATAATAAAAAGATCCGGCCGTCATGTGTATGCCCTTCGATCTAAGGAAAAAAAAAACATTTTGAATTATTTAAAGACACGAAATTTATTTCATTACAAAATGTGATCAGATTCCTCCACGGAAAAAGACAACGCTCAAACATTTCCCTTCCCCCTCTCCCCTCAAAGGTTGGCTCTGTAGAAAACTAGTACCTGGGAGGCACAGGTCCCATCAAAGCCTTTCTTTTTCAGCTTCTTTTCCGCTGCTGACTTGTGAGGATCATTGCTTTGCTTGACAATCCAATACACTGTATGATTCTTCAGATATGTCATGAAGACGCATGCAGGGCCTGTAATTTCTTATCTCTTAGTTGCTGGCTCAGGATTTCTGATTTCTTTCCAGTAGTTTGATACCACTTATAACAAGTTTGGAATTCGTTACTTCTGATTTCTTTCCACCTAGATGGATGCTACTTATGACTAGTTTGGAATTTGTCCTTTCACAACTCATTTTTTTTGGCTCGAAAGAGCCCCGTGGTGGTCTGAAAGTTTTAGATCGTCATTTGCAGTCAATGTTAATAACATATTATTTTTCCTCGACACTCGATTCTGAAGTTGACTTCCGCTCAGGTTGTCGAAACGTTTGTCAGTCGCTACAGTCCTTCTCAGGACCATCCTTCCTCGGATGATCAGGCTGCTCGATCAATTATTATTGTCAATCGTTAATTATCCTTGATCCTTAACAAGTATTCTTATTTTGTGATTATTATCTACCCGAACGTATAATCAAACTAATAACTCATTTATCTACAACTAACAAAATTGCGGGTCAGCGGAGTCAATGTAAATTTGCTGACGGTAAAAACTTACGCGTTTTGACACCTCGTCAATGAGCTCCCAATCTTACTCTCGATCCGAAGCACGCATGCGCCGTCGCAGGACAGATGAAAGTGATACATTCCACTTTCAGGCGCGGCGAAGTAGGCACGAAGCCGCTGGCCATATTGTGGCTCGGGTAGATATGTAGTATTAGAGACAGGTTCGGAGCGATTGGGATTGTCAGGAAAATCCTGATGCTCCAATAACGAGCTCAAGTTGTTTCCTTGTATATTATCCAGCCATGCTTCTTGTAAAAATCCTTTGATGTCTGGAATTAAAAGGATTCTCAAGTCATTATTATTTTTTTAAAATTAGAACTGTATAAGGTTTATCAAGAGAGATGCATCATCTTCTCATTGGAGCATCCAATGATTCAATGATGACTCGCCATGTGATTCTCTTCCCAGCCCTCCAGCCCCCTACCCCCTGTGATAAATAATAAATGACTGGTACCTAATGGAAACCTGATTTATGTAGTTTATGGCCGTGATTTTCAGGATAGTAGGTTGTGGTTCAAATCGATCTGTTTCCTCTTGATAACTCCAATAACTACATAAATAAATATATCTAAAAACCTCAAAGGCATTTTTAGCAATTAAAATTAACTACAAATCATATTTATGGGAAGAAGGAAAAGGTATTTCTTAGGGACCAGACATTATTTCTCGCCTGAGTTGGGAGGGGGGGTGGCGAAGCGTCGGAGAATTTTGAGAGGATCACATGATTCACATAGGAAGGAAGGGGGAACGGTTGTCACTGACAGAGTATTAAGGTAGGCTATAGAAATCTGAAGGGATCAGTAGATTTCTACCGAACTCCCTATGGGAGGGTCGAGCAATTTTCCAACCTCGTTCCCAGGGCTTTTCCCTTTTTGAACTTCCTTTTTTGAAGTTTAGCGGGCGGCAAAGTTTCCCGCCCGCCAAGCTTCAAAATAGGAATATCAAAAAGGGAAAAGCCCTGGGAACGAGGTTGGTAATTTTCATTTTGACACAACCAAAATCATCCACCCCTCACAATGGATAAATAACGAGCGGTCCTTTGAACGAAAATACCCAAACACGGAACAATGTACTCAAGACAGCTTCAGAACTTCGTTCGCTTCTGTAGTAAAAGTGATTATCAATTATCGTCATGTAAGTTTCATCTTCTGTTCCTACAAAATATCATCTTTGAGAGCTGCTAGAATTTTATAGCCTCAGTAACGCTATGGTTTTCTTTCTGGAAGAGAATGCATCGACATCAAGAGGAAAAGTATGATTCTGTAGAGAATTGTTAATTTGCTTGTGTGTTTATCTATGTGTGCCTGAAACATTCAGTATCATCAGTGTATATCGTTTGTCAATAAGGAAATGCTTCAGGATTCTCTCACAGATACATGGGTCTATTCTTCTCATCTGTTTGAATGTAGTCTTTAGTCTTTATTAAAAAAAAAAAAAATAAGTAGACTCTTCAGACATGGGTCTTTACAGTCAATGAACATAATGTGTGGAAATGGTGACTAGAATTTACATATCAACCACTACTGGGAGTTAAGCCTTGGTCAAACGGCGCATGAAAGTCGATGATAGTTGATTCTCGTCAAACTATCATCAACTATCACCAACTATAATTCGCATGGTCAAACGGCCAAAAAAGTTCGTGATAGTTGATGATAGTTCACCGGCAGTCGCGCGAGCAAAGTCACGCGAGCAGCTAGTTCCAGGCTCTTTCCGCCTAAAATGTGAACACAAACATGGCTTCGCGTGAGAAAAAACAAACTTGTTGAAGTATGAATTTATCACGACGAAAGAGGGCGGCAGCTTGCTTACTAGTAATCACTTTGTTGGAGGAATGTACGGAGGATGAATCTGGAGAGCGTTGGTGGAAGAGAGGACGGGCAAGGGAATGAATTAAAAGGAGAAACGAAAGGGGGATGTTGAAATTGGTTGAAGA